TAAAGTTTCCTTACTCTATTATTTTTTTTTTACCTTATCCTTTCATATAATGAGCATTATTATAAATCTTTTATCCAACTGTGGGCATACCGCTAGTCACGATGAACGGATGTCCCCATCGAGGAGGTACAGTACCTTGAGAGAATATTCAGCCTCAAATTCATACCTGGCCTCAAGTAAAAGTCATGCATACGATGCATTGTACCTTGAGAGAATATTCGGCCTCAAGCTCATACCTGGCCTCAAGTAGAAGTCATGCATACGATGCATGACCAAAGAAGCGGGTAAAATCGTCGGCTCCCTGTAACTCTCCAGTAAGTACCTGATTCCTCATGCTACCCTCTAACTTTACAAAAGCCAGATCAGGTCGAAAATGAAGTACTTTTGCTATATTTGGGTGAGAGCTTCCCAGTCATCGCTTTCCAGTCTTGATAGAGTTCATAGGTGTCATCAGAATTATTTTATTTCATAAGAAATTTACATCAGCCAGAAATGGAATACTTCGGAAAAAAAAAGAGGTTGCATTCCATCATCGCCGATCAGACTCCCAAATATCACCAATCATGATAAATGGATGTCCCCTTGGGGTGGCTCCGTGCCTTCAGAGACCAGTGGATCTTAAACTCACACGAAGACTCAAGTGGAACACGTACATACATTGCTAAAGATGCAAGGAAAATAGTCGGTTCTTTGTGACTATTATATATATATATATATATATATATATATATATATATATATATATATATATATATCATAAAAACAAAAAATAGCATTATAAAATATGTTCAGCATATGTTCTTATTCCAAAGTCCTGCTGACAGGCGGCTCTCGTGCATTGTTTTCCGCTCCAACAGCGATTTTGAATTCAGACTTGTCTACATCTGTGCTCTGCCGTTGACATTCTTTCAAGCACATTTCATTTGTGATTTAGAATATATTTTGCCCATGCTCTCAAGAAAAGTGCTAATTTTAAGTGTAAAGTTATATTACTGGAAGTAAGGTGGAAATTATTTATTTTCTTCAGAATATTGTACATATATATCATAAATACAGTAATAGACAATGGGGAGTGCTTATTAACGGTTTATAGTGTGGTTATTTCAACTTAAGTTATTTTTCGACCTCTGGAGCCAGTTAACGACGTTGGGTGAGATATACCTGTATCTTAACCGATCGAGCCACGGAGAATCGAGAAATTATTTTAAGACATTTTTATGTTTATACATTTTTTTTACAGGTACAAATGTTTAAGTAAATGTTCTGTTTTATAATAAACAGTATTTATAATATTTACCGGCCTGACTGTCCGAGAAATTTTCAAAGAAAATATTCGTCATTTAGACGTGCTTTTAACCGATCGAGCCAGAATGTATAAACATAAAAATGTCTTAAAATAATTGTCGGGCTTGTCCATTTCATAATGTGTGACGTCATTTGTTTACATTTGGATACGCTTTGAGCAGATATGAATGTACGTGAGAGATTCATGGAAGATTGAAGTTTAAAGGCAGTAAATTCGCCCTTGCTAACTGAAGGCTCCTCTGTAGCCAAATCGGTTAAAGGCACGTCAGGCATTATGACGGTTCCGTTTACCTGTATATAATTGCATTTCGTTTGTACACTGGAATGAGACTGTTTGAATTTTAAACATATGAATCATAAAAGATTTAAAGGCTAATATTTTGTAAATAATAAGAGATATTTTTTATTTATTTTAAATTAATAGCAGTAATGAATTTAGACAAATGATACTGCTCAGTTCAGTAGCATTTGTCAAAGCTGAAAAAAATTAGTTTTCCATCGAGTTTTCATTTTCAGCACAAAGTACTCGAACGAAAACTTCCGACCTTTCATAATGCCATGGGTTTTACTTAATTTTGATACAAGGTCACAAGTATGGAACACCCGGTGAGGTTCGAACTCGGTATACAGCAGAGAAAGAGACTAGCTCGCTAACCATTGGAGCTTGACGAAGCGCCCAAACTAAAAAGTTGGAAAAATTGCTTCAGCTACAATTGAATTCATTTTGGTTCAATAAAGGTTGCAATGAAATTTTGATAGTTTTTGAATGTTTTTCTTCCGATTCCCTTCTATGAAATCATCCACAAAAAGAAAACAAAAGAAAAAAAACATAAAACACGTGGGGGCGGAGGGGTTTCAGCGCTTCTGTATGTGGTGTTTCGCCTTTGTTAAGTCATGCATCCACTTGGATAGAAAGTTCATCGGCGTGTACACACCTAGTTTTGACGCCGGGTCGAACCTTTAGAATCAGCCCCTTGCTTACTTGAAGGGTGAGGGAATTAAGTACCAATTGAAAAGTCCTTTCCTTCTCTCACCCACCCCCCACCAGTAATTACACGCCTTACCTTCAGATTGGAGCAGTTAAACACCTTTCAATATCCAGGTCAAACGCCTTGCATTTCATTTCTCTTTCTTTCTTTCTATCTTTCTTTCTTTCTTTCTTTCTTTCTTTCTTTCTTTCTTTTCTTTTATTTATTTATATATATATATATATGTACATATATATATATATATATATATATATATATATATATATATATATATATATATATATATATATATATATATATATATATATATATATATATATATATATATATATATATATATATATATATATATATATATATATATATATATATATATATATATATATGTATATATATATATATGTATATATATATATATATGTATATGTATATATATATATGTATATGTATATATATATATGTGTATGTATATATATGTATATGTATATATATGTATATATTTATATATTTATATATATATATTTATATATATATTTATATATATATATGTATATATATATTTATATATATATATATGTATATATATATTTACAAATACATGAATTACAAATACATGAATAACAACTAATACGGCAGAAATTTATATAAACAAGGATCAATTCATTCATAACGGATCTGGAGGTTTTTGTATACTATTTGAATTGTTTGCAATGATGGATGTCTCGCCATTTAAATCATTAACCTTTGCATTAGTTTTGTGTGAATAATTCATGTATTTGTAAATTGATTGCACGTTTATTGTAATATAATATATATATTTATATATATATATGTATATATATATATATATGTATATATGTATATATATATGTATGTATGTATATATATATATATCATTATATTTCAATTATATATATATATGTATATATATATATCATTATATTTCAATTATATATATATATATATATATATATATATCATTATATTTCAATAAAAATCATATTATATATAAATGAAATTATAAATACATATATCATATGTCACTAAGAACATATATATATATATATATATATATATATATATATATATATATATATATAAGTCCCTCAGGAATATATGAATAAAAAGACAAGAGGTAACCTGTGCTTACTCGACGCGTTTCCTCCCCTGAGGGACTTTTTCATGGTAAATGTCTGAGGACGAAACGCGTTGGTCAAGAATATTTTTTTCTCTTGTCTTTTTATTAATTTTCATCCTTCAGAGATACACTCTATCTGAAAATAATTTACACACATACACACGTGTATATATATATATATATATATATATATATATATATATATATATATATAATGGACTTTTCAGTATATGTTGTTTCAATAATTCAGCTCCTAGTATTGCACAGTCAGTCGACACCGCACATATGAATTGCCGTGAATGTTCACCCGAGTATACAAACATTACGAAAGAATTGAATATTACCCTCCCTTCTCCTAGACTGGCTGCTAACCAAGGCTAAAGAGCCAAGTATGTCCTACTATAGCTGGTGACGGAGAATAAGTCATGCATTTACAAAAGTTATTTGCACTAAGCGAATACAATGATCTCTACTTGAATTTGAACGCGGTATTACACCATCCACACATCCATTGATAGAGCATTTCTAATTTCTTTTTTTAATACGTTACGTAAATTCTTTAAATGTGAATTACAAACTTGGTTCGTTAATAAGGCATGAAAATAAATATTAGTTTATTCATTTTGCTTGTACCCAGAATTCTTTATGCGCCGTGTCCATTCTGATTGTGGACGTCCATGACACTCAACGACTATCGTTTTTATTTCAGTTGTCTTATATAAGCATCGTTCTGTCGCTTATCGATGTGTTAGTGAAAGGTTGTAGGGACAACGCAGTTTAATTGTTTCTTTTACTCATTTACATAATTATATTTTTCGTTTTATTGTTGGGGAATTTAAATCTTTTGTTTTTAATTCACTACGTCTTTTTTAACAAACTGTTTGTCAGTCTTAAATACCAGAATTGAAAACAGCTAGCGACAAAAACAAAACAAAAAAACTGACGACATTTGAAGAAAAGTAACATTGACAGAAGTTTAATGCTAGATCAGTTACGAATTTCGAAACCGCATCGCTACCCCCTCCATCTTTTTTTATTTAATGGATTGTGGCAGTTCCTTCTGGAGAAAGAAACATCATCATCCATTTTTCTTCACTTTTCTAGCGGCATTCTTTTAATGGACCTGTCTCATCTTTTCCAATCAATATTTTTTCTTGAAAGAAGCTTTATAGTTCATCTTTTTGCTCATGCAAGGAACGAGTAAAAAAGAATTGAATAACCTCAGATAAATAGATATGAACAGACTGAGATCAACAGATAATGGATATGAACAGATATATATATAGAAAGATAGATTGGAACAGAGATATTAACAGAAATATATTTGAAATATATAACATATCCTTCCTGCCTGTATATATATATATATATATATATATATATATATATATATATATATATATATATATATACATGTGTGTGTGTGTGAGAGAGAGAGAGACTGACTATCTATAGAGAGAGACATTATCTATAAAGCGATAGATTATCTATCTACAGATAGATGGATTATCTATAGATAAATAGATTGTTAGAAAAATAGATGAACATAGAATTGTTTGAAATTTGAGCTATCTATCTCAGTCTGTTAATAGCTATCTATCTCAGTCTGTTAATAGCTATCTATCTCAGTCTGTTAAAAGCCATCTATCTCAGTCTGTTAATAACCATCTATCTATCTATCTATCTATCTATCTATCTATCTATCGTAATCTGTTCATATCTAGCTATCTATCTGTCTTGTGTTTTAGCAGATTGTCATTTGACGATACGATCTGTTTCAAGGCGTGTAAGTAAATATATGTAATGTTTTACGCATAGCCCAGAAAATTAGTGAATTAAAAAGAAAAACAAAACAATTACATCACAAACTACAGAATTATGTGTGGAAACATTTCTTTAGTAATTTGGCTTTCTGGGTGGATGGATATTTACCCGCATCTTAGACCTGTACACCCGGGTGTTTGTGATACTTTATGTGTTCAAAGAGAAAAAGAGAAGTAAAAATACAGCCGGGAAAAACGGATTCTCTTTATGCATACAACAACTTAGTGGGAGTGTTTTGTTGAGCTCATAAACTTTGACCCTGTGACCTAAGTTTGAACCCTGGTACACACTTAATGCTCTATATTACTTTATGCATTTATTTGGCGCTATATAGTCTTAATAAAAAATTATGTAATCTTGAAAACTCAACTTTGTATTGATCATCACTTAGCTAAATAATAATCGAGCAAGATTCGATTCCAAAATTACTTCCTTTAAAATTCGTGTAGTTCAGTCAATGGATACTTTTTTTTTTAAATACATTCTGTAGTTTGATGTTGAATTTTAAATTTTGATGTCGAATTTTAAATTTTGATGTCGAATTTTAAATTTTGATGTTGAATTTTAAATTTTGAGAGTGAATTTTAAATTTTGATGTCGAATTTTAAATTTTGATGTCGAATTTTAAATTTTGATGTTGAATTTTAAATTTTAATGTCGTATTTTAAATTTTGAGAGTTATTTTAAATTTTGATGTCGAATTTTAAATTTTGAGAGTGAATTTTAAATTTTGAGTGAATTTTAAATTTTGAGAGTGAATTTTAAATTTTGATAGGGATTTTTAAATTTTGAGAGTGAATTTTAAATTTTATAACTGAATTGAAAATTGAAGATTTTTTGCACTATCAGAAATACTCATGAATGAGGAAATATTTTTTCCTGCAAAAGCCGTTAACTTTGCTCGACTTTTGATGATATTTATTCTTCTGTCCAACAAAAATGAACCTCTTCGAAGAATTCCAACGCATTTGCGTATATTTTCGCGTGCACCTGTCATTGCTACGCATTTTTATTTTAATACATTTTAAGGTGATAATTAAAAATATATTTTTAAACCTTTAAAACCTCAATATTTTCTGTTAAGCCTAAAGAAAAAAAAATCATTAATTTTTCTTTTATTTGAGGTAAGAAATTAGCGAATAAAATGAAAATAAATAAATCAACATAATTGCCGAAACGATGATTTATAATTTGATCAGCATTATTTTCATCTTACGTTAAGCAAAACAGTTGTAAAGAATTTTGAAGGTGCCCTTCCAATGTAAAGAATACAAAGCATTCGATTTTATTTCCGGTCTAAACAGTTCTAGATTTTTAGTTTTTTTTGTTTTTTTTGTTAGGACCTGCACCCAAGCTAAATATTAATATAAAAATGTAGAATTTAATAAATCCGTGTTTCAAATATTCTTCTTCTTCGATGAATTTTTGTGATACGCACTGAATGTCATCTGTATTTAGATCCTGTGTAAATTATCACCGCCCACACTTCGATTTTTCGATCCAACCAACCGACTCATCCTCGATTCACTCGCAAACTTTGCAAACGTTTTCTTTCGAATTATTTTCTCCAACGTTAATTGGAACGAACAGGCTTCGGAATCTTCCTTAAAGCGGAACATTCTAAAATGATATCCGATTGGGACATTTTAGGACAACCAATTTCCGAAATGCAAAACAGGTCAAGCCTGATTATTCATGCAGAAATTACACACTGCATCGCTCTAGCCAGAAAGCTTCCACTGCAATGGCAACAGCAGCTAAAATCGTAGGAAACTTTTTAGGCCGCCTGTCTATTAGATTGAGACACATTAATTAACATTAATAAATGATTAAACCAGTAATAAAATGTAAAGTTGAGATTACGAGCGCGCAAATATATATCTATCAACCTATCTGGTTCTGTTCATATGTATGTACCAAACAGATAGATATGAAGAGAACCAGATAGATATGAATATAGATATCAAGACAGATAGAAATTAAGAGAACTAGATAGATAGGTATGAACAGAAGCAGCTAGATACATATGAACAGAACTCGATATATACATATATAGATATAAACAGAAAAATATATATATATATATATGGACAGAACTAGATAGATAGATAGATAGATAGATAGATAGATAGATAGATAGATATCGACAGAACTAGATAGATAGATAGATAGATAGATAGATAGATAGATAATGATATCGACAGAACTAGATAGATAGATATAGATAATAGACAGAATCGACAGAACTAGATAGATAGATAGATAGATATCGACAGAACTAGATAGATAGATAGATAGATATCGACAGAACTAGATAGATAGATAGATATCGACAGAACTAGATAGATAGATAGATAGATAGATAGATAGAGATAGATAGATAGATAGATATCGACAGAACTAGATAGATAGATAGATAGATAGATAGATAGATATCGACAGAACTAGATAGATAGATAGATAGATAGATAGATATAGATAGATATCGACAGAACTAGATAGATAGATAGATAGATAGATAGATATCGACAGAACTAGATAGATAGATAGATAGATATCGACAGAACTAGATAGATAGATAGATAGATAGATAGATAGATAGATAGATAGATAGATATCGACAGAACTAGATAGATAGATAGATAGATAGATAGATATCGACAGAACTAGATAGATAGATAGATAGATAGATAGATAGATAGATAGATAGATAGATATCGACAGAACTAGATAGATAGATAGATAGATAGATAGATATCGACAGAACTAGATAGATAGATAGATAGATAGATAGATAGATAGATAGATATCGACAGAACTAGATAGATAGATAGATAGATAGATAGATAGATATCGACAGAACTAGATAGATAGATAGATAGATAGATAGATATCGACAGAACTAGATAGATAGATAGATAGATAGATATCGACAGAACTAGATAGATAGATAGATAGATAGATATCGACAGAACTAGATAGATAGATAGATAGATAGATATCGACAGAACTAGATAGATAGATAGATAGATAGATAGATAGATAGATATCGACAGAACTAGATAGATAGATAGATAGATAGATAGATATCGACAGAACTAGATAGATAGATAGATAGATAGATATCGACAGAACTAGATAGATAGATAGATAGATAGATATCGACAGAACTAGATAGATAGGTAGATAGATAGATAGATAGATATCGACAGAACTAGATAGATAGGTAGATAGATAGATAGATAGATATCGACAGAACTAGATAGATAGGTAGATAGATAGATAGATAGATATCGACAGAACTAGATAAATATGAACTAGACATCTGGATAGATAGGTATAAACTCTACTAGATAGATAGTTAGATACGAACAGATCTAGATAGGTTGATTAATATAAAAAGAATCATATAGACAGATGAACAGACTGACAAAGCGATATGAATCTGTAGAGGTAAATACGTAGAAATATTTCGCTAGGTCAGGAGATGCCAGTTGCGTTATTTTATGTGCGCACGAGCGAACCCAAGCCAAATTACGTTGGGCTCTTTACCCGCACGTGCGTGCCGCGAGCACCTCTTCAAGGAAACGGGTGGGAAGTGGGTCTTGTAATATTGTTCTTTCTACAGCTGACTTCTCTACAACTTGTTCGACGGGCACGTGTAAAACTTGATAATACCAAGGCTTACAAGATCTCCACTTTCAGGATATTGTCGCTTGGTAGTCTTTTTAATCTCTTCTTTTAAAATCTGTATGCGTTGTTGTAAACACAACAAATTCTATAAATTCTCTTCGTGTTTTCTCTTGCGTACATAGAAACGGTGTTAATGGAAAGAAAGAAAAAAGGGCTGTTAACTGTAAGACGACAGAATGCGAGCTTGTTAGTAAAATAGCTCAAGTTGACTGCTACGTAACGAGGGTCTCACGCAAGTTCAGATAATCATACTATCTTTGGACTGTCGTAATAGATGACGGTCTGTGTGACTCAGATATACGAAAGCGCATAAAAATAGTAAAATATGCCTTTCTGAAACCAAGCAAAGAATTAAAAGAAAGGAAAATGTTATTAGAAAGAAAGAAATGAGAGCTGAACTTATATGTATGTAATAGCAGACCCTTCGAAAAGGGTAGACGTTGGATTGGTAGTCCCGAGAGTTGAAAGGGTTAACGTAGTTTGCACGCGGGTAAAAATAAAATAGTCATTGGTATGACCAACACGTGGCTCTATTTCTGTTTGTTTTCTTCTCTGTACAAGTACCCAATCGGAAGATTCTTGACCCCGACCAACAGAACTAACTGCTTTATGCGATATTACAGTCTGGTGCCATAGACGTAAACTCTAGAATAAAAAAAAAATTAACTTGAAATTTACTGAATCTATTGAGAAAATGTTTTCTTTAGAATTCTAAATTTACAAAAATTACATTGGCATATTATGGCTATATTGTTCTTTTTGTTTTTGATATATTCTAAGAGTGTCTAATTCTTCAAGCCTTCCTACCTCAAAAGATCTGCTGTAACTTCATTCGAAGTTAACTCAGGTTAAGTGAATCCAGTTGTCAAGAGAATTAACATTCATATTTACAAGGACATTGTATTCCCATTTCGTCTTTTTGCTGATCTCGGAGATCGTCAGGTTGCTATGATGGCTTTCTTACAGTTTCATAAATGCAACGTGGGAGTAATTTGACGGTGCCAATATTTTCTCTCACTCGCACAAAACAGTATCGAATTTCAAAGTACTTAATTAGATTATCATGCATGCATATTCATATTCTTTTGTTTCAAAGGAATGTTCTTAGTGCAAGAAAAAAAAAGGTCTTTTTAGAATCTGATGACTTTTGCGACATTTAAACGACATTCTGTTTGCCATTCCTCTTCTTTTTCAGTGGCTTAAGTTTCCGTCGATAGAAAACATATTATAAACAGGAACACACCACCCACACACACATCAGAGTACACCTCATTGGG